CTTGCGCTTTTCGGTTTCGGCATCGGAGGCAGCTTTGTCCTTGAGGGGCGCTCGGCGAGGGGTGACGACGACGGGACTCTCTCTGTGATCGAGTTAGCAATTGAATCATCCTGGCGGCTCATGCTGACTCACGCTTCTTCGGCTGTATCCTCTGTTTCCGGCGCTGGTGGTGGAGGGGCAGAGACGGACAGCTTCTTCGCAGGCCCAGCCGGCGCCTTTGCTGTTGCACCTGCCGTCCGTGTTCCTGCCGTGGGTCGAGTAGCGGTCGGGCGTGTTGACGCAGCAAGAGAGGCGCGTGGAGCAGTGCGGGTCGTCGCTGCCTCTGCAGGTGGGCGTGAGGTTACAGGACGCTTGGCGGCAGTCGTTGTCGTAGAGGAAGGCGCAATGGATTGTCTCGAAGTCGGTTTGGCAGGAGATGGCCTCGAAGTAGCTGACGACGTGACGGGCGTCCGGCGCACTGCTGTCCTCTTCTTCTCGTCGCCCGATGTGACGGACGACAGGTCTGGCTCGGCATCGGATGCGGTTCTGGACGACGAGATGGTCCTGCGCGCCGTCGTCCCTGCTGCCGGGCGCGTAGGCGGCTTGTTCAGGCTGGATCCAACCGTGCTGGTGCGCGATGTTGCCGTGGTGGGGGCTTTGGACGCGCTCGTAGCAGTTCGCGCCGTGCTTGTTGATGCCGCTGCAGGACGACGGGCGCTCGCAGCGGTGCCGCTGGCTGCAGTCGGCCGGCGTGGAGGGACGCCATCTTTTGAGGCTGGGGAAGGCGCATTGGCAGCCATCTTGCGGCGGACTGAGGATGTGGGCGTTGAGGGGGCGGGCAGTTTTTTGGGCTGCGGACTCCCGACTGGCACGCTTTCCGAGGGAGCTCTGTCGCGAGCCGGGGGTGGTGTCGCCATTCGGTGCCGGATTCAGGGGCCTCTGCTGATCAATGCACTCCCAATCGCGCTCTCAGCGGGGTGTGCAGCAAGTACCGGCCTAATGGGATGGATCTAAACAGCAGAGGATGGTATCGCGTAGCTGTCGCTTCTCAGTCGCGACTTCCTCACGCGCTGGGCTAGCTCATGTATGTGGGGAGTGCAAAAGCAGGGTCTCATAGCGCTCCAATCCACGCCCAGACGGCCAGCACAACACACCGAGCATCACCACCTAGTTTCACTCTCGCCGCCCATCATCACACTCCTGGCCACTGAAGAGAGCACACGTCAAATCTGTCACCTTGCATTGACTGTATCGACTTTCGGCGTCAACGTAGGCCGAACCTGTGGCACCAATGCACCCCAGGCTCCCACCATGGTGGCTTGCAGCTTCCCCACTTCGCATGCTATAGCCAGGGTCCGATTCCAATATTCGGTCACGATCCCAAAAACCGAACGGCCTCTGGAACTGGAAGATGGCATGCCACGCGTTCGGTGTCCAAGACAGTCGAATCAAAGGAGAGGCGCGTAAGTTGCTGCAGTGTCAGAAAAGTCTCAAACGCTTGATCATCGTCCTTCTGGATCAGGTCGTTTCCAGAGAGACTATCCCATGAAGGACTGTTTATCGTGCCTTCGCCTTTGACGACGCCTGCGCGCCCTACTGTCTCTACTAATCCCAGACGACTAGACTCACGTACGAGCAGTACCGCATCCGTTTTGAAGAACTGAACCATAATATCGCCCGATCGCGTCGTCTTGGGCCCAATACCAACGAACTGAACGCCTTCCGGGTCCTTGGCCAAGAATAATCTCGAATGTAGATAGCCAAACCTTGTTGTATCGTCGAACGGAACAAAATTACGGACTTTGAAGCCGACCCGGCCTTTCAGTACCGCCGTCAAGTATCGTAGGCCCATGATAAGTCGATCAACGTCTCCCTTTTCTCTCAGAGCATCGCGGCCTAACTCCCTGAACCAGGACTTCGCTGTCCCTGGGTCCGTGGAGAACGACAAATAGGTCGGGCCTACTTGATACACCACTCCTGTCATTCTGCCCGAAACGCTCACGGATCGGGTAGTCGACTCCACTGGTGACCAGTCCTGACTATTTTCTGGCATGGAACAGTGCCAAAACCACTCCAAGTCTAAAGGACGGCCCTTAGTCGAGTTTCTTAGACTTATGAGCAATGAGTGAACGTAGCCAATGATACTTGCCACAACTTCGTCCTCCCACGAACACCACGGACTACAGCTGGTCCTGCGTATGTATTCCCACCTCCCAGGATCCTGTCTGGGAAGGCGCCATCCATGGAATTTGGCCATCGAGAATGCTTTTCGCGATATACTGGCTCGTAGTAGGCTCGCAAAATAGACCATGTCCACCGCATGTTTCTGTTGCGTCAAAGTCCTTGCCTCTAGTGGCACTGAGGGCGCTCGAAGATGTATCAATTCTGAGTACATATCCAATCGAGACTGGGAGTAGTTCGCTGCAACAACATCGGTAATGTGGTCCTCTGCAATCCCAATCAAAGCATACACCTTGTCGGCCCAGTTTGAGCAGAAACAATCGTTGAAGCTTTCCAAAAGCGAAGTGAAGGTGTTCTGGTTCGTGTCTACGGGATGGCGAATGTCCTCAATGCGCAGGACTCTTCGAGTAATATGCGTAGGAACCCAGGCCTCATTTTGCGCTTCGAAGAGCCTGACCAGATGGATCCAAATGTCCCAAGGTATAGCCTCACTCTTGGACTTGGACCAGCTAGGTACATGGTACAGTACGTATATGTCACTTGCCATGCGGAGCTCTTGGATGATCCAGCAACGTTTCCAATACTCCGCATTCATCAAGGAAAATATCCATGTTGCAGTTCCCGGCCATTCTTCTTCGGCTTCACGAAGTGTTTTCGTCACATCCCACTTCCAGGATTTCGCCAGCCCTGTCCATCGTGGTTCGAAATGATCGCCCAGCCAAAGATATACTGCCTGTGCTCGTTCGTATATCGATGGCATGATAGCGATTTGTGAAGCCTTTTCGTCCGGGTCATCTTGGTTAATGCAAATTGCATCCACCCAAACAAGTATGTCTCCATACAACATCCGATCGCGAATGCTGCGAAGAGCACCCCATAGATGGTCGCTGACAACATGGCGTTTTCCGTTAATGAGTATCGATTGCTTGTGTGGTCCAGCATCCCACGTGTATGAAAGAGCAGTATACGACGGCCACGACGAGAATGATGCTTCCTCCCAAGTGAGCTCTATCCTGCCTGTGGCGTGGCGCATTCGCAGAAGACGAATAGATGACTTCGGATCGGCTAATCTAGCATAATCCCTCGGTGACCATGGATACTCATACCACGTAGCTGATGGCAGCGTACCTGTTGGCAGCAACTGAAGATCAAAGAGCATGCAGGTGATTCCCCCAATATACATCACCAAGGCTGCCCTCACAGAGAACCCCTCCAGGGTCAAGCGCGAAAGACAGAGAAGCATACAGGTGATTATAGTGGCCAAAAACAAGCTCATGGGCCACATGGTGCACGTAGTACGGTGGAAGGCTGAACGTGCGAGTCGGATGATCGCGATTGCGACACACAAAGACGCCAGCGTGCGGACAGTGAGGAGGCAGACAGCGGGCTAACGCGACCGCGAGACAACTGATCAAATTAAACGATAGTTGCGACGTCCGAAGGAAGTGTTGCGCGAGGGCAAAGTTCAGCTGCGATGATGCGCCTGCTTACCCAGGTATGCATACGCTGACTTTGCATAGGACCAATAGTTGGGAACAACACATCAGCACTGCGCTTCCAATCACCGTGACCAGGCAGTTGAGGCGTTCAGCCTCGTAGGCTCCAGCACGCGGTCCCGGTTTTGCCGTGGCGAATGTCAAAACGCGTTCTGGAACGCGTCCCGCGACGTGTGACGTCAGACGGTCATTAGGCGTGCAATCAGCGTGCGCGTTGCCATCTTAAAAGCCAAGAAGCAGACCTTGGGAAGCTATAACGACCAACAGCTTGCTTGTATCGAAGCCATGCGATACGCACTTTCCGAGGCACCCTGATCACCTCAAGGGCTACCTACGTACCTAAGCATGGTCTACGACCCAAACTTGTACCGCGACAAAGAGCGCTTTCTTGGCATTCTCACCGCCGATCTTACACCTACCCAACTCGATGCAGTCCAGGAACTCTTCGGCATTGGCGCCAACATGTGCTCTCCATATCCTGCAGAGCAGCTGTTCATCGAAGACAAACGCGACTTGTCAAACCTCTCCCATGCAGACTTGAGGAGAGCCTTCCTTGATGCAGATCCCTTACTTGTTATCGACGCTCAAACGCCCACCGACGGCGGTGTCTGGTATCTTGACCATTTTGCTGAGCAATTCGACGTCGATAAGGGATTAGCCGAGAACTTGGACACTCTCTACAAGATTCGCATGGATATTCGCGACCTTGTCATCACGCATGTAAACTACAATATCGCCAATACCGATATCCAAAATGATCTAGAAACGGTCGGTGTACCTTATCCCATACCGGAGAACTTTGTTCAGGACAAAATATTCTGCATGGGTTTCGATCATATCAAGTACCGTTACGCAAACCCGACTTGGGTCATAGCTATACCGGACGAGCTAGAAGAGAGTACAAATGGCAGAGACTTGAACAACTTCATCCCACGGCCGGAAATTCTCTATCGCATCAAAGAAGATGTCGCGAGAGAGGCGGGCTTGAAGAGCGCATGGATGATCGCGAGCGATAGATCTGGGGAAGTGAAATTACCTGATGGCACCAAAATAGCATTGCCCCCAGGGAGCAAGGTCGTGCAGTCTACATACGATCCCGATGTAGCGGTCCCAGTGTACAAGAAACCGGAGGGAAGCTTATAGATACAGTTCAACAAAAATCGGTGTTCCTCATCAGTCATGCCGCGAAAGACACCCTTGCTGTGAACGGATCTGAACATGTGCCTATTGCACATCTTTTGAGAAATCGGTATTACTAGATGTCTAACGTATCGATATAGGGCCTAAATTCGATGGGGTGAGTATTGTGGTTGCGCAAAAGTTGCCGCGCAAGTACCCGTCAAGATGTGGTATTCGGACTAACCCACAACGTACTAGACTGAAGGGTATCCACTCACCGCCGTTGAATTTAAGCCCCGCACGATCCCGTTCTCATGCCCGAACACGACCTCTACACATCGTCTCGAAAAGTTCATCGGAATCACCAGACATGACCTCTTTCCGCTTCCTCGATCTCCCCGCGAGATTCGCGACAAAATATATGGCATCCTGCTGTGCACATTCCCGCGTCCCGAATCTATCACGCAGGGGACGATGCTTTCGAAGAAAGACTTCAGCCCAAGTATCCTACGCGCCAACAAACAGATCTACGCCGAAAGCTATGATTCCATGATAAAGTGCAATCGGTTCATGCTCGTGTCTTCGACTGGCGGTCTACATCTCGCCAACATGCTCAAGGGCAACTGCGTTCCCACGCTGGCTTTCGACCTGGACAACGGCACTAAGAGGAAGAAGAAAAGCGGAAAAGAGGTCATTAAGCCCATAACATAAATTTTCCGGGGCTACGCTTTGCATATCACCATAGGGAACAGCAATGTCCGGTGAGGATGGAGCTCCCACATTCAGAGCTCTTGCAACCTTGCAACGTCATCATGCTCTTCCGGGATGTCGAACTACTATGCGAGGCCATCAAGGGAGGCGATGGCCGACTGGAGAACTACAAGAATCTTGTGACCCTAGACATTGGACTTGCACCGGTGGTCAAGCGTCCGCCGTTCCAACTAAAAAGCCCAACGGCTTACTTCTCTTCTACCAAGACCCAGGAAGAACTACAGGCACCTTTTCGCAAAAGCTTCCGCGACATGCCTCGGGTCACTATTGGTGGTACCGTCGATGAATCCCTTGCTCAGTCAGCCAGACAAGATTTCGCACGGAGCAAATTTGAAGATGTTGACAGCATCATCGCCTTATGGACCGCGAAAAAGGATGAGGGTACTCAGCTATTCAAGCGAGGCGACGATGGCTGTCTGAAACCATGGTCAAAAGTCAGAGATGAGATCAATGAAGCCTTCAAGTCAGAGGCATGGGCACGCCTAGTTAAACAAGGAGGCCCCTCATTCGTGGCGAGAGTCGCGGAGCTCTTCTACACCACAAACCTCAACATCGTAGCCATCGGACTGAAGTGGCTGGAAGAAGGAGATCGCGACGTCTTGCCCGGCGTCCGTGACGCCTACGGTCACTTGAAGAGTAGCACCAATGAAGGCTATTGGGGCATCGCGCACTCGTGGAAACCCTCCCCGGCGCAGGAGACGAAGAGCTTGTTTCGATATGCGAAAATCTTAAGACTCTCAGGAGAGTCAGAGCTGGTTCCATTTGCGTCCGCGACTATCGACATGCTAGCTTATCATAATCCTGATGACGCTACAATTCTTGAGGAGAAGCGTAAGATCAAGGCTTGGAAGCGCAGCGTGGGGCCTATTGACGACAGCGCGTTCAACGCTATGATGAGCGGTCTGAACACGTAATGCCGACATGGGTAGTGCGTGTCCTTTAGGCGCGTGACTGATTTAGTATAGATGTTCGATGCTGAAGTTAGGAAAAGCACCTGGGCAGCGCGCGCGGAGTCCCGCAGGTTGGATTTGTAGTATGTTTGTTCACACCTGTTGTTTGCTTCTAGCGAGTAGACACTACAAAACACATTGTCTATTAGAGTCTTAGCTACTAATTAAGAAACTCTAGAAGTAAGATATCTATATATTAGAAACAAATTTTATTTTAGAGTTCTAGTGTAAGAGATACAATTAAATAGGTATACAATAGATTATAAGCTATTAAGTAGAATATAAAGATATAGAGTATCACGGCGCTAGCCTAGATAGCTAATTAGATAGCGCTAAGCTGCTAAGCGAGCAGCTCTGCGACTACTAAAATTCCTGCGCAACTATGCCTGTTATATACTCTTTAAGCTATATTCTTATCTTAGCCTAACTCTATACTACTAGCAATACGTAGTAAATATACTAATTACGTATACTTATCTTCTCTGCTAGCTAACTCTGTAATATTACGTAGCTCTTCTCTATAGGTGCTGTCTCTATAGAATTAGATAGACTACTCTAAACTACTAGCTACTCTAGACTTAGCTAAAGCTCTGTTAGCAGAGGTATATAATAACCTTAACGCCTAGCTACTGTATTTGTGTAATAGCTACTAGTATATACAGAATCTAGAAAGCTCTCTTTGCGCAGCGCGTGCTGCTAAGTAGAAATACTAAACTTTTATTATATAGCGTAACAGAATTATTTATTACTAGAAGAAGTAACTTACTACTAACTAGAAATAGATTACTAAACTTAAAATTAAGAAGCGCTACCTAGCTACTACTACTAGCTCTACAATATGGATCTCTTGTAAAGCTCTCTTTCTACTCTCTAGAGCTATAGCTAAAGCTTGTATAGATAATCTAATAAGACTACTTACGCTTATTACTTCTTTAAGTTCTAGAACTACTAGCCTTAGCAAGAAGATACTTAATCTAAAGAAGTTTAATAGAACTTGCAGTAACCTTTAGTAGTTTATCTAATAGATATATAGTAAAATAAATATAAATGCTAACTACTTTCTGCAAGCTACTAACTAAATAATCTACGTTACTAGCTGTCTTACAGAAAGCGCCTATACGCTTATACTACCTAAAATCTAATATAGTATTCTCTAGTTTATTAATTACCTGCAAATGCTTAAATACTTAGAATAAGCCTTTAGAGACTCTAACTATACGCAGAATATATAGGATAAGCTATTCTAACTATAATAGAAGAATCTTAACTTTAGTGCCTACTTCTTAGAATTCTAGTAACTAGCTCTAGAGAGAGAGATGCTAGAAAGCGCTTTTACTTTCTTACTATTCTAAGGTATATCCTGTAAGCTACAGAATATATTACTTTATAACCTACCTCTGTTCTAAGAGTTTTCTACCTACGCTAGCTACCTATAGAAGCTTAATAACTATTACTACTAATACTAGTAGTAGGTTGCCTATAAACCTTAGAACCTACTTATTAGAACTACGCACGCTACCTATACCTCTGCTACTATACCTAATATACTTAATAGATAAATAAGCTCTCTCTACTTTATAATACTAAATACTACACTAACGTATAAACTTATAGACCTTAGCCTATAGAGAAATCTTATAGTAAATAGCTATAGAGAGAGAGATAAATACTTCTATTATAAGTTAAAGAACTACTAGATAGCTCTTTACTCTAAACTTAATATCTATCTATTTACTTTCTTCTATATAAGTAACTCTTATTAGTCTCTAAGTTCTTTTACTACTTACTAGTCTCTCTGTATATTCTTACTCTAGATTCTCTACTTTATTAGCTTTTTATATTCTTCTACTTACTAAATAGCTAGCCTACTATCTAGCCTAAACTACCTATTAAATAGAATAAGTCTAAACTAAGTTACGTTTAGGCTCTAAAGTTATATAACTAAAGCTAGTAGCCTATAGTTTGCCTCTCTAAGGTATCTGTTAAGAGGCTTTTAGTGCATAAAGAAAGTAACTAGAAGTCTAATATAATAATTCTGTCTATCTCGCTAGAGATAGAAGAGAAGATAATACTAACGTACGTAATAATAGACTCTAGTGTAGAGAGTAAGAGGTTTATAGACTAAAGCTAGGCTAAAAGCTATAAGCTACCTTTATAAGAACTAAAGAACCTCTTTAGTATTATAATATTTAATAGAGACCTATTAGAGTAGAGTACTATTACGTACTACGTTAAGGCTACTATAAGAGTAGAAGACTATATAGAAACTATCTACCTAAATATAACGTAGCTAGCGCACTACTCTATAATTCTTAGAATGCTCTAGCTAAAATAGTATAATCTAAGAATTAGCTTCGCTAGCTATACTCTAACGTTTAAAAGCAAATACTGCTAGAGACACTATAACATCTTAAAAAAACTAAATAAGATCTACGCTCTATACTAAGTTCTGTCTAAGTTCTACTTTATTAACTTACTAGACTACCTAAAGCTACTATAGAATTAAGATATTATAAAAGTGTTACTTAACGCCTGCGCTGCGTATACGCGAAGAAACTACTATATATTTATAGTTACTATTAAATAGATTAACTACTATCTATTCTAAACTAACTAGACTAAACTACTAAACTCTAAGATTCTACTACTACTTAAGATAAAAGACTTCTAGAACGTCTTCTTACCTAAGAAGGTAGAGAAGCTTCTACTACACTACTTATATAACTATAATATCTATCTACTAGAGAGTAAGACACTACTCTTTAGACTACTATATCTAATATTCTAAGAAGAACTTAAAGCCTTAAAGAAATAGCTAGAAAAGAATCTCTAGAAGAGGTTTATCTAGCTAAGCTTCTTACCTACTATCTTACTTATTTTATTTATTAAGAAACTTAATAGAGGCCTCTAGTTCTATATAGACTACTAAGAGTTAAATAATATATCTATAAAAGACTACTACTTACTTCTACTTATAAAGAAAAGTCTAAATAACTTAAAAGAGATAAAGTACTTTTTTAAGATTAATATTATAGCCGCCTTTAATAACATACGTATAAAGAAAGACTAGAAGTACTTAACTATATTCTAAACTTAATTTAGCCTATATAAGAGCCTAGTAATACTATTTAGCCTATTAGAAGTACTAGCTACCTTCTAGAAGTTTATTAATAATACCTTAAGAGAATACTTAGACGTTTTTTATACTATCTACCTAGATAATACTTTAATTTATAGCTAAACTAGAAGATAACATAAATAGTACCTACGCCTAGTACTTACTATACTGCGAAAAGCTAGGTTATACGCAAAGATTTAAAAGTGTAAGTTCTTTAAGAAAGAGACTACCTTTCTAGACGTTATTATAGAACGCGAGAGAATTTATATAGATCTAAAGAAGATTAAGATATTTTAGAAATAGAAGACTCTATTCTATCTAACTAACGTGTAAGCGTTTATTAGATTTAGTAACTTCTACTACTAGTTTATATAAGACTTTTTAAAAATTATTACTCTACTAGTTACTCTTATAAGAAAGAGTATTAACTTTATCTAGAATAATAAATACTAGAAGGCTTTTAACTATCTAAAGACTACGTTTACTAAAGCTTTAATTCTAGCCCTGTTTAACTAGAAATAAGAGATTATTCTAGAAATAGACGCGTCTAACTACGTCTCTACTAGAGTACTATTCTAGTATAAAGATAATAAGATACTATAATCTATAGCGTTCTTCTCTAAGAAGTACTCTATAATAGAGTATAACTATAAGATACTATAATCTATAGCGTTCTTCTCTAAGAAGTACTCTATAATAGAGTATAACTATAAGATCTATAATAAGAAACTACTTGTAATTATGCGCTGCTTTAAGAAATAGATACCTAAGCTAAAGAGAACTCTATTACTAATTAAGGTTATTATAAACTATTATAACTTTAAATACTTTACTACTATAAAACTACTAAACTAATAACAGGTCTGCTAGTC